AGAGAAATGCATAACGGGATCCGATAAGACAAATAGAATTGTTCCCCAAATTCTCCAAGCCACCCACTTAGGATGTGTGTGTGTTTTGTTTTTTTCCTCCTGCATTCCCCAAACTTTATTTCCCTTTCTTTGAGGCTCCAACTATTCTCAGACGCCTGTTTATGCCGTTTTAAAAGCATTTAAAAGCTCATACGGCTCATTGGTCCTAAACTTCTCCAGGAAGGCAAGAAAAGATATAAACAAAGGGTGAAAATAGTTTGACATGATGCAGAATTGGGCATTTAGTTTCCTCTGTGTCTGTAGTGGAAGTAAAGTAGAACAGTTTACAAGCAGAACAAAGGCCAGTTGCATAGAAATAGACCTCGTCTTTGTCCTAAATATAACTTTAAGTCAGACTTGCTATAGACATTTCAATTATCTTATAGCATAAAGCTTCCCTATGCGTGACTAATGTAAGGCTGACTTAGATACATAGCTTAGATAGCTTGTCATGCAATGCATTATGGGTGAGATGACACCACACCAAATATGGGAGAAAATAACAGAAAAAGGTAAACAGCATAGGTCCACGGGTCAAAAAGGCCCAAAAAGTTATGGATAAACGGTTAAAATAGTTATAAATAAAGTTAATGGATAAATAAATAGTTTGCTAAAAGTTAGCTTCAAGTAATAGATACATTGTTTAGATAGTTAGTTAGCTAAAAGTAATGGTTAACAGTTGACAAAGTTAGCTAGCTGGGGGAGGGGTGGCTCACTGTCCTATCTCACATGAAGTCAGTCTTAATACTTGTGCAACAGGAAGGCTTACTTAGTCTAGATCAGTCAAAGACTAGTTTTAAACTTTATTTCACTGGTCCCTGGTGCTTCCCCTTCTTCAGCGAGGGTTTGAGAGTCTCAGCCGTCGCTCGATGTCACTGACCTCATGACAGAGCTTGTAAAATAGTTGTTTTTTAAATCACTAACGCACCACAGGCCTTTGCCAACAGCCCAGCCCACCTCTTTCTTTTTCTCCCCTCTCTGTTTTGTATCTCTCCCTCCTCTGACACTCCCCCCTTCCTCTCTCTCTCTGGGTCAGCGGCTCCTCTGAAGGGGTCACCGGCTCTTTATCCCGCTGCCATTAAAGAGGTCATATTTCTTCACACCGCCGTTTGCGGATGAGGCTCGGACGGTTGGAGCTGGAGTCAGTTCTAACTTGTGCCGGGAGGTTCGTGGACTGATTGTGGTATGCCCACATACCAGGCCGTTTTCAGGGAGATGGCATGGGAGGGGGGTGATATCTCAAGGCTGGGCAGCGGCAGCAGATAGAGTCTTTCATGAATTCTCAATAGATAGTGTTGAGGTGCTCAATTGCTCGCTCTCACTTTCCTCTGTCTGTCTTTCAGCCGGTTAGCTCCCGAGTTTCCCACCGTGTTCTCTGATGGGTTTAGCCTTTTTAAGCAACAGTTTGCGTGTGTGTGTGTATTTCCCATGTCTGTTAAGCCCATGACCTCCTTTCACTTCGCCTCATTAGCATGTGAATCCCCCCCCACCCCACCCTCTACAAGTAGGCCAGAGTGGAGGGACGGAGAAAGTGAGATTGGCGTGAGAGAAAAACGTGATCCGATTTCAGGAAAGTGTTTAACCTTCAGAACACATCTTGTAGTTAAGGTGTTTTTAGGTGTTTTGAGGTGTAAACTGTACCAAAGTTCACTGGGGCGTTAAGCTAAAAGATAGAAACAGGAATATTGCCCCTGTGAACTGGCTCACCCAAAGCTAACCCTTCCTGTGTGGTTCTCAGACACCACCAAAAGCCTCCTGGTCCAGCCCTGGCGCTCCACGCTGTTTGTGCAGGTGTCGGCCTCACTGATCATCCCATCTGCTGCCCTCTGCCAACCACTGGGGGGGAGGAGAGAGAGAGAGAGAGAGAGAGAGAGAGAGAGAGAGAGAGAGAGAGCCTGAATTATGCTAAAACAATAGAAAAATGCAAGAAACTATTTGCGCCATTTTCAGTGGCTTTCAGCTGCTTTGTTCAGACGAAAAATAATTTAAATAAATAAGATAAAAATTAGCAAGAAAGAAATCACATTTTTTTGTGAGTTTTATCGGTTGTCCTCTCCGTCTTCCGTGTCACCGTTTTGTGTCCTGTACAGAGTCCATTTGTCCACTTGTGATAGTTGTTTTCTTGCAGTATTTTAACCAGGTATATGTCTTGTTTGTACATTTTCTTTAGTATAATTAAGATTACACAGACACAGCAGCAAACAACTCACAGGTAAACAGTATCCTAGAGGCTTTTGTAGAGATTTGTGTACGTTTATTCCCAAACCACTGATATTTTATGACATTTCTAGAATATATGTGAGCTGTGACAACCACATATATTAATGCAAACAGAAGGATAAACAGCCGTGTTAGTGTGGACATGGACTCATTAAAGTGTGAGCAGTTGTCACAGTGTGGATGTTTGAGGAGCCTGTGAGAGCCTCGAGTGTGTCCACAGGAATGCATAAGAAAGTGTGTTTTGAGGTCTCACTGGCGAGACGACGTCCACAGTTCTCAGCCGCATTGGAGAACGCTCATGTGTTGATTTCTGACCCAAATTTCAAAGAAATCCCTGTGATGTGATGAGGCCGACCACACGAGCCGCATGTGGGAGCAGTTTCTGTGCAGTGTGATGGGTGAATGTATACGTTGGTGTGTCAGCGTGTGGGTCTTCACGACGCCTTCGTGTCTTGAGCTCTCCCTCTCTCTATTTATGAGCGACTACTACGGCCGTATACCTTTACGCACGCCAAACGTGCTCTCATGCGAAGAATGTTTCCAGAGTCGGGTGGGCTTAGTTGTTTTCTTTGTTATTCGCACATTTTGAAATCCCCAAAGGAAAGTCCCTGCCAGAGTTTGCACGCCTGTATTTGTGGTACTTTGATTTGGAGATATGTATTTATCTCCCCATCATCAGAATAGAACGTGGGTGCGTTGAACTTCTAACACTGCTTTCAACATGTCCATTTGTGGTTGGACAAGCTCCTCCAGATAGACCTGTCACAACTACTTCTGTTTACGATATATCGTCCGAGAAATAATTCCGATAAACAATATTATTGTCATTTTAAGACCGTTTTATGCCACTAATATCATGATAATATAATAGCATAATAATGCAAGCGCAGACGATGGGACGAAAGAAGCACAACCACGAATTAAATCAAAACGTGTCTCAACATTTATTTCTTTTCAATTGGCTTAGCATAAAGACTAAGAACAGAGGGAAACAGCTAGCCTTACTCTATCCGAAAGTAATAACATCTGCCTAAAAAACCCTCAAAAAGTCAGTAATTAACATGTTGTATCTGATTTTTTTTTTTAGACCGCGGGAAGTAGGAAAGTATCGATACACTTGAATATCGCGATATTGTGTTTTGTCACACTTTGTTCATTCTCAAAAACATTGTATTGGTTTTTAATTAATACTTTACATGCAAATATTTTTAGATTTCAATTGTAAACTTTCTTTTACTCAGATTTTATGCGTAGGGTGTTGTGTTCTTGTCAGTTTTCCTAAAATTGACCCCTAAATAATGCAGTGTAAGGCCTTGCTTACTGTATCGCGATACAATACATCGTAACACGTTCTTGCCAATACAAATCCCTGTTGTCAGCCTCTATGCTAAGCTAAGGCAGGTTTATTTATACAGCACATCTCAGCGACAAGGCAATTTAAAGCGCTTTACATAAAACATCAAAAGACAAAGTGCAAAAGAAACACTTTATAAAACATTATGTTAATATTTTAAAGATTTCCACTTAAGCGCCAAAAGACAAACAAGCTAAAATAGAACCAAACAGTGCAGCGTAAGAAATTATTGAATAAAAGACAACAGCTGACCTGCAGTTTCAGCTAACTGCTTCACACAAGTGGTTTCTGTCGAAAAAGACGCTCTACCTGAAAATGCCCCCCCCCCATCCATAACATTCAAGTTCTCCCAATGTGTTGACATAGTGTACTGTGTTGGTGGGAGTCTTTTGTCTCCAGTAGACAAGTCCAGTGGGACCCCGAAAGTCCTGAATGCCAGTGTGTATTTGCTCTGTCAGGAGGAGGGGGGGGTCTCCTAATGCTGAAGAATAAACCTCAGGTCTCTATAGCTTGCTGTCAACAGCAGCAGCAGGAGGCTGTTTGCTGAGCAAACGGCCTGATTTAATGTTAGCATGACACACACACACACACACGTGAAGGACTTTTAAAGTGTGTTTTAATGTCATGTTCTTTCTCCAGCTTGCAGGTAAGTGGAGTTAACTGTATGATTCCCTGTATTAGCTGTGTCTGTGAGTCGGCCTTACGTATGTGATTGTGTGCGTGGGTTCACACATGCATTCATGTGCGTGTGTGTGTGTGTGTGTGTGTGTGTGTATGTGTAGCTATGCTGCCCAGCCTGGTTCTGCACCGCTCCTCTATCCGTCCGTACCAGAGGGGTCTCTACTGCAGCGACTCCAGCCTGAGACACCCCTACAAGAGGAGCACCGTCTCCTCCTCGGTGCTCACTGCTGTCGGGTTGACACTGCCCGCGGTGTCTGTAAGTCACCACCCCCCCCCGCGCACACAAAGAGCACCAGGCCTTGGGGGTGAGGGGGGATCTCTGAAGGCAGAAACAGGGATGGCTGACGGTTCATGATGGTGGCTGTGAAAGGAGCTCAGAAAAGTTAACTCTGAAGGCAAAGTTTGTTATTTTTGGTGCTAGTTGCATCTGATTTTGGAAACCTACTCCTTTGCTCTAAGCTGACCCTACGTGCCACCCTCAAGCCACACCCACTTCTGCCATATCCCATGACCCCTGGTGCCAGCGTGCTCCTTGTGCTCCTCTCTGTTTATGTCCGTGTCACTGACCTTTTTTGCTTTCTGTCTTCTCTCTCTCTCTCTCTCTCGCTCGCTCTCTCTCTCTCTCTCTCTCTCTCTCTCTCTCTCTCTCTCTCTCTCTCTCTCTCTCCGCTCCCCTCTTCTATTTTTTTCCTTGTGTCCTCTGTAGCTAGCCTGCCTTTCCTGATCATTGAGACTAGCACCATAAAGCCGTACCAGCGTGGGTTTTACTGTTCGGACGAGTCCATCCGCTTCCCCCGAAAAGTGGGAGAAACCATTAGCGACGCGGTGCTCTGTGGTGTCGGCATTCTTATTGCCATCTTCTCTGTAAGTCCACTTTCTTACACCTCCCTTTGTATGCTGCTTTTACTCCAATTTAAAGCCACTTGTTTTTTTTAACTCTTCGCCCCAATAAGTCATCCTCACTAACATAGCCCCTTTTAATTAAAACAAAGTTTGAGTGATTTCTTATCATGCAGCGTTTTCTAAAATACTCCAATCTTCTGCAATGAATGTGCTCTATGTGTCCTACCCTTTTCATTCTGTGATGTTTTTTAATGTTTGAGTCATCAGAGCCATTTTTGATGGCCTGTTTTTATTACTCCGCCAACCGAGTTAGCGGTGGCGAGAGGCCCCCCCCCCCCTCCAACCCAAAGCGACATTTGTGTGCTGACGCATGCGTGCCAATCGTCGGAAGACATTTTACGGCCTCCCGGTCCATTCTCATACCTCCCACTCGTATCCCTGCCGCCCCCGGTCTCCGTGCCCTTTCTGCTCTGAACATTACTTTGGGTGAATGTATCACAGCTCGCTCCTCATTCCCATGACTTGACTCCTGGCTCCCCCAGAGTGGGAACAGCTCCAGTGTAGTGCCAGCAAATTAGAGTGAGGAGGGCGGGGGTGGGGGGGTCAGGGTTAGTGGAAACATGTTAGAATGAGTGCTGCGGTATGAGCATGTCAATTGGTGCCACGTGCTCAGGCGAGATGATGTTTACAGCCCCCCAGACTCAGACGTTGCTCGCCATCAGCTTGGTGGGCGCACACACACACACGTACAAGCTCAGCTCTTCTGCTTATTGGAACCAGGAGACCGAGCTAGTTAGTTCCCTCACATGTTCACGTGTGGGCAAAGCTGGCGTGTCACACACACACAGCTGTGTTTCATCAGTGCCGTCGTCTGCTGCAATGCCGACACCGTTCCTTTTAAGGTGCACGCACATAGGCACGCGTCACCTACGTGCACACACCGCGCACACACTGTGCATGCTCTGGTAGCGGATTCCAGTCGGGGGGGGGGGACGGACGGACTCTTGTTTATCTTTGCTGCAAGGGAAATCCAAATGGCCCTGCTGCTCAGACGTATCTTTTTTTCTTCTGGAAGAAACAAGAGTTAGCAATCGCGAGATGGAAGTCAATGAGCATCGGCGATCCAAATAAACTCCCATCAGGCCAACTATAGCCCTCTGTCGTATACATGACAGACCCTGTCAGCGCTTAGAATAAACCAGACAAACAGCAATAAACCAAGACGGGCCGATAGAGAAGCAGAGGAGAGGCTTGAATGCAAATGCTGACAACCCAAATAAACTTCTCTGTCATGTATCGGCCTCCTGTGGTTCTAATCTTAAACTCAGATCAAAAACAATTCATTGACAATAGCAAAGAGACACACACACACTTATACACACCACCATGTTTGTTTCTTCTGGCTGTGAGTCGGCCAGCTGACCACCCAACAGGCAGGATAGGTGTGTTTATCAGGGCCTAACAATACATGTAAACACACAAACATCGTGTATTATTAACTCGCAAGATGTGCGCACATTTAAATCCTTAAAGCATAATTTGCATTCAGAGCACTGCGAGGTGTGCCTTGGCTCAGAGATGGGCAGGTAAATATTTTCCTGAGAGATTGAGTGAGAAGGCAGGCCGGAGACTGAAGCCTTGTGTGTGTGGAAGGGGGAGATGTGGTCCGTCAGTCAGATACCCCAGATGGTTCAGATATATGATTGACATCTCCGTGCCTCGAGGGTTAACTCGGTGTAAAGCCCCCCCACCCCCCCTTCAGTGTAGATGAGGTCTTTCCGTGGGCCTCAAAACTACTTAAAACCTTATGGCTGGAATACCACAGGGTTCAACGTTAGGCCCACTGGACTTAAGCCTTAAAGCAGACCGTTCGCCCTGTTAGAAACCCTCCTTACATCAAAGTCAGGTCAGTCTGACTGAGATATTTTCACCCAGTCTGGATTCTTTGTTCTCATGTTTTCCGTTTACCCGTTTCATTCTCTGTCTCATTATCCTTCATATCCCACATACAAAAAGGCCCCATCATATCATGGAGCACAGCATCACCACCCATTAATCACATCAACACTGCCTGAGGGAAAGGCAGGCCATGCTCATTGTTTGTCTTTGTGTGGAACTCATTCCATCTCTCCTGTCTGTCCTTCACACATCCTTTCTACTCTACTAGTCTGACTTCAGTCTGGAATTAAATTAGATTTCCTGCATGATAAACGCTCAGAAGTTATAATTTATTTTGCTGCATGCTTATCTGCATCTGAACCTACTGTGAGACTGTAGGATCCAGTGGCATCACACAGCTAGAATGTGTCTCCTATTTGTGATCAGTGTTGTCTGTTTATCTCAAAGAAACACTCAATTTCTTTTAGATTGTGATTGGAGAATGCTTCAGGATTCACCAACTACGCGAAGGAACCAAGTCTTTCGTCGGGAATCCCTATGTGGCAGCCCTCTACAAGCAGGTCAGCTCTCCATAAGCGTGCTTTCATACCTGTTCAGATTATTGCATACATATACATTGACTGCTTCACTTCTCCCCGGAGCAGCGATTGTCCAATCGTAGCTTTGCAACCGTAACACGACATTACCTTTTGATTTTTCCACATGTTGAGTCAATATGAATGCGGCTGTGAGAGGGATACTGTATGTAAAGATTTGGATGGGGATATTCTTTACTTTTAATCATATTAAAAACAAAAATACAAGAGCCAAAGTATAAGGAAGGGACAACAGTTTGTTTTGAGTCAAAAATAACCAACCAATTTGTGCAGCTAACGTTAGCTTAATTAGCTGGCTAGTTGCAGCTGGTAAAATCTGTTTAGCTGCCACTTTAGCCACAAACACAACGGTCGCAGGCAAGAAATGAGAAGCCTGCTTCTTTCATCATTTCAGAAATGACTCATTGTTTTGGGAGGTACATCTGCCAATGTTATCTTTTTCAACTGCTATGCAACATGACAGGCGTAGCAAGAGAGAGTTAGTAGGACGGGGCTCAGCTAACGATCAATCACAGACAGCTGCAGCGGTATTATATCTAACCATTGATGTGCGCGCTCTTGCAGATGGGCGTGTTTCTCTTCGGATGTGCCGTCAGCCAGTCATTCACCGACATCGCCAAGGTGTCGGTGGGCCGCATGAGGCCCCACTTCTTAGATGTGTGTAAGCCGGATTTCTCCACCATCGACTGTTCACTGGGATACATCACCAACTACACCTGCACTGGCGAAGAGAGCGATGTACAGGAGGCCAGGTGAGCACCAACGCCGTACACAACACACAGTATTTATGTTGATTTAGAAATATATCACTTAAATTGAAAAACTAACTGAGGATAATCTTTATTCCACAGGAAATCATTCTTCTCAGGACATGCCTCTTTTTCAATGTTTACCATGCTCTACCTGGCTGTAAGTAGCTATTAAAGCCTCTTGCACACACATCACAACACACTCACATTCATGCAAGCACACACACGTCGAGAGCCACACAAACAATGGTTTACAGATGTAGAGGGAGTCATGGGAGAGAGTGGGATCCACTTTTTATGAAGAGTTTTATTCTCCTTTTTACTCCTCCGAGAGATTGGATGGAATCACTCCACCTGTTTTCTTAGGAGCAGCTGGGTGTGTGCACTTCCTGTCCTCTCCCATTTCCCTCAATCTCTCCCTCTCACTCCACCTGCTGTGGGTGTCGGGTGGGGCTTCGCACCCGAGAGGAATTTCATGCTTCAAACAATCTAATTACACACACACAGACGATTGGCAGCTCACAGCTCCCCAATCATCTCCTTCCTCTGAAGAGAGGGACTAGGAGTGTCAATGTTTTGGGTCTGGTGGTCTCGGTTCTCACGGCGGGCTGACGGGTGAAGTTCTGGTGTGTTGTCCTGCAGTGAGAGCTTGCCGCGGGTATTTCCCGGCCTCTGGGTGAACCAATGCACTCCGGTCACACCAAGAAAAAGAGACGAATAAAAAGCAAGAGAGGGAACGGACGTATCCAGACCACAGAGTGACACACTAGTCGGAGACCCAGCGTTCCAGCTGTGGCGAGCTCAGGACCTCAGCCAGAGGAGGCCGGTGCAGGCTGTGGAACCGAAAAAGAGGCAGAGAGGAGAGTTTGTACGTGTTTGTAGTTGATGTTTCGGAAAAGGAATCCGTGGAATTTTTATGTTTTCGCCAGCTGTAAACGAGTCATGTGACATCACGTTTTTCACTCTCAGAACCTCCCCCCACGGTCTTGGAGTCGTTAAAGTTCGACTCCACATGCGTTCGTTTTAGGGTTTTTAATTGGAAACGCCCACTCAGCAGTTAGCAGAAACCAGTGGCACTGGTTACCAAAGTAAACGTATCAATGAGGTCATAAATAAATAAGTATTCTTGTGTTTCTAACAGACAAAATGTAAAGTCAAATCAATAGAACACGAGGGACGGGGAATGAATACAAGTTTAACTGCTAGCTAAGGATACATGACATAGCTATAGACAATGATTATCAATATTTTTATTAGGAATAAAAAAGGGAGAGTGGTCGTTTACCACAAGGCACTATTGGGGAAAATATTAACTAATAGATATCCCCATGAAACTTCACCAGTTGATTACTGACATCGAGACATTTATCTTTTGTATTACACATTTTCTGAAATGTTATGTTTGAATATATAAATAGGCGTTATCTAATGGTAACTTTTGGTGAATTTAGCAGAACTCTACAGATGCAAACAGACAAAGTAGTAAAACAAAACACATAAATGTGTATTTTGGATGTTTCCTTTCCACTAGTCTGAAATAAGACATGTTATAGAAGAAATATAAACCAAAACTCTTTTTGAAAGAAATGTACCCGTGCATTAAAAGCAGCATTTTGTCAGAACAAGAAAGCAAACGAGTGCATTTCCCAAAATGTGAAACTGATGACAAATCATTCATCAGTATTGTTAATTATTCGTCTTTCAATGAATCGACCGTTCATTCCTGCAGGACTAAAAGGACAAAATATGGATCCTCTCTTTCTTCGGTCCTCAAACCTGCTAATTGTCACTCTTTGATTGTGAAGCACTTCATTTCCTGCCAAGCGCGTGTTGAGTGCTGCGTCTGTGACTGATGTGGTTTTGAGTCTACGCTTTCTGAGATGGCACACAGATAAGTGGCACAGACGACACCACGTCTCGTGCCTCACTACTGAGCTATCTTCTATAATGTCTGACACGCAAACACATGAGATCCGGTAGCAAAACGGGCCTGGTGTTGTTCTTCTGTGGGTAAAAACGAGCCAGATAGCGTGTTGGTTGTTTGTTTTAATAGAAAACAATATGTTTGTTTGTGATAAAAGTGGTCTGAACCACAGCTATGCTTTTGTCTCGCAGCCTGGTGGAGGGGAGCATGGGAATAGGGGGGGGGGGGGGGGCTCTCATTCTTTCTCACTTTGTTGTGTGTGTGTGTGTTTTCTTTTATTGAACACTGAGTCACAGCGACAAAGACGGAGGGAGAAGATCTCGCTGGAATGAGCCGGATTCCTTTTAGAAACCACCAGACTCCGTGTCGCTCTCGTCTCCATCTGTCATGGGAATCTGCTAGGACTCCTTTTTTGTTGTTCTTGCGTTTCATTGTTGTTTTTGCTCAGAGGTCACTATTTAAGACACAACACATTATTGTAGGAGGACGGCAAGGGTCAGAAAGGCAAAAGGCTGCGTGTATTTCAGTGATGAGTTGGATTTATAGATGCATTCTGAGATGTTAAAAAGGTCATTAACCCTCTGAATGTTTGCGTGAATCAGGGTTGGACGGGTTATTTGGGTTTACTCACTGACCTCCAGTCAGATCGGGCCAATCAGATTACTGTAACTCCGTCTTTTTGGCTCGGCGTTCTCTCTCCCTTTCTCCTACAACCACCCTCCACCAGAGCTCGCTTTAAAACCAAGAGGTTAAGGAAGTCGTGTGAAGGGCTGCAGAACGTCGTAGACAAAAGCACTTATCAGCCGTCCTCTACCCGCTACCTGAGAACCGCGGCGGAGGAAGCATGAAGTCTAAACATCCCCGCCGGGGAGGAGAGAGGGTGGAATGGGATGGGAGGGATCGCTTCCTCTGCTTCCTCAAGGAGACAAACAATGACACGAGTATCGTAGAGGAAGCTCGAAGGAGCTTTACGTCCACACCTACAGGGAGGCTCTCTGTAGGTATTGTGAGCTGATTATAAGACCCAAGGTCCGGGCCTGGGTAGACCTTGGCTGAGGGCCGGCCCTCCCAGCTCCTCTCGTCTCTGAGAGACAGGAAGTTGAGGGTACGAGTGGTGCGCAGAAACACAGGATGTCTGAGTACGAAAAGAGAGGCGGTGCATGTGTATTTGCACTTGTGAAAGCGGCCTTGGACTTTCCTGTTTTGACTCTTCTCAGTCTTTATCGTGACCCAGGAGATGGTGGGTTTTTTTGGGGGCTGCAGGTGGAGCGCATCCGCTTTGTCTTTTCTATTTACTCTAATAGAGGGTAGAGAGTTCATCCCAACAGAATATGTATAAGTGTGTGTGTGTGTATTTTCTCTCTGTGGTTGTGCTGTTTTTACAGCTGGGATGTTGAACCATGAATCAGTCATGTCCGGGTCCCAGTGTGTGTGTTGTGGAAGAGATTATGTGTTTCTTTGCGGGTCTGGCCCACTTTGATTCAGTCTAGACCTCTCAGACCGTAATAATACACACACACTGACACGCATGCACACGCACACCGATACACGCAGCAGGTGTCCAGCCGGCTGTGTGTGTGTGAGATTTCTACATATTTTACATTATTTGCATTGAACACAATAACTGTGCACATTTCATTCATGTCGTATGGATGAAAATAAGTAACGCCCTCTCTCTCTCTCTCTTTCTCTCTCTCGTCTCCACAGTTCTACCTCCAGTCCAGGTTTTCGTGGCGCGGCGCTCGTCTGCTCCGCCCGCTGCTCCAGTTCACCCTGCTGATGATGGCCTTCTACACCGGCCTGTCGCGCGTCTCCGACCACAAGCACCACCCGACCGACGTCCTGGCGGGCTTCGTGCAGGGCGCCCTGGTGGCCTACTGCATAGTGAGTGCACTCACGTCACGCAAAAAAAGCACACAACGCCAACATGATGAAAACTGTATGAACATGTGATGTGAGTGATAACGCATTTTGCAAAAGTCCCAGTGAAACGGAAGTTAGGGCGTCTTTACTGATACGTATCTCACAGTGAAACGACAAGAAGAAATAAGACAGATCTGATGTAAAAATCATCTGATACTGATTTTGTTGACACATATTTGGCGAGCTATGAATGAACATTTAACACACGGGATTAAGACTTGGAAAATGTACATTTCATGTCACTGGGTCTTTAGTACTTTTCTATAATTGATTGGGGATGAAACGAACCAACCGCTCCTTCTTTTCACTTTTCTCTCCTCTCTGTTTTTATTATGAACAAGAGAAACAGAGCCGGCAGTGAAGTGAGGAGAATCTGATTCCCTTTAATGTATAACACATTGCCCTAATTCAGGAGTGTGTTTGTGTGTGTGTGTGTGTGTGTGTGTGTGTGTGTGTGTGAATCCATACAAACCTCCTTCACTACTTATGTGACATATCGTCATAGCAGTTGCCAGATGATTTTCATAACCCTCATCATTACGTTAAGCTAGACGGAGCCAAGGAAAATTGAAATCGGGGTCTCAAAAAAAAAAAAAGAGGGAGTGCGAAAAAGAAAGAGAGCGAACATTAGGCTTTGAAACAGGAATGAGGCTGTTAATTATTTGGGTTTTTTATTTTTTATTTGGCAGCTCTGGTTCTATCAGCACAGCAGGACCCCGTTTAAACTCTGCTGCCTCTGGGAAACGTATGGAAAGACACACACACGTACAACCTTTACCCTTCTACGCGAGCCAGATCGTGAGCGTGGAAAGGATTAGATTCATAAAACTTTAGCAAGACCTTAGTAGTGGCGCCTGGGCAGACCTTGGCACAGCTAAAATGCACACACACACACGCACGCACACACGCACGAACAATAGACTGTGTGCAAAAACAGCGCTCCTCCAACTGGGCGAAGCTCCTGCTGAGACGACATCGGCTCTGACAGGGAGGTGGAAAAGAAATGTCAGAAAAATACTCAACGTATGAGGTTGACCTCTGGATGGGCAGATCTGGCATCAGCAGCAAAGGGAGGGAAGTGACGGGAGAGAGGAGCCTTGTCTACATCTTGGCTCAGGATGAGCGGGGGTTTAATCCAACTGGGCTATTCCACAACCCTCAGAGAGACACTCAACACACACACACGCACATATATATATATATATGTGTGTATATAAACGTACGCACGCGCACTCATTTCCAAAACCCCTGCCGATCGAGGCGGCTGAGGTTAGTTTTACAATCCTTGACGCCCATTGTGATTCGCCCAGTCTTGGTAGGAACACACACATCTGTGAACACTTTAGCTCGGCTGTTAGAGCCTCGCTCCATGAGCAGCGGAGCAGAAAGGACCTGACAGGAGAGACGAGTGGAGGCTCAGACAGACAGAGGAGGTACGAAAGTACCAGTGTGAACGTCCTCAGAAGTCGACAAGTGTGCGGTCGCTATTCTTCTAAATGTATATACCAGTTGTATATTTATATTTATTTCGTCTCCACACAGCATGAAACACGGCCAATATCAGCTGACATGACAGAACTATAAAAACTTGCCCAATTGAAACAAATTCATGCTCTCCAGTTTTTCTCTCGTAGATCTGCTTAGGCGACTTGTTTTGTTTCTGGTTTGCAACCTCTACTTCTTCTTCTTCGTCCACTCTGTTTACTGGCAGACTGCCACCGTGACATAGACTGTAAATAAGAAGTGGACATAGTCGTCGTGACGTCACCCGTTAGTTTGTGGACTGATGTTTTGAAGCCTCGACTTCGGCGTTTTTGGCCGTCAGCATCTTGACTTTTTGCAACCAGTGAACAGAAGTGACCATATTTGGACTGAGGAGGAGTGACGTAGAGACGGCGTATACGTCTCTGGTAGAGACCTGTCAATCACCGTGTGGCCCCGCCCTAAAGCATACCCTGCTTTATGGTGTATTTGACTCTAATTGGCCTAAAGTTCACTTGACAATTGACTGGAAACACGGCGAGTGTGACAATATGACAAAGGTTCCGCCTGTTGAAAGGGTTGATAGAGCCCCATGGCAGCCTGGGTAATGCGGTCCTTGAATCTATCCTGATGCATGGAAAGTCTCCAAATGTCTGAAGAACAAAAGAACACTTTGGGTGAATCAGTGCATTTGCACGTCAGTCCCAAGTGTGCGATTGTGAACAATTGTTGTAAATATCACGTGATGAGTTCTGCGTCCTTGTAGAAAAGTGTCTTCCTTCCTAAATATATTTTAGTAATGGACCGTGGAGAATTGTCTTGTTCCTTTACTCTTTTGTCTCAGCTATTCTAGTTTCCCCGAGGCTACAGTAACCTTTTAAGTCTAATTGAGTGCCAGTAAGTGAACAATACAAACCTGGAGCAGGAATGAGCTAATTCATCTGTAGTGACTAGTGTTAGACTGCGGCTTTGTTCTAAGTTAATTGCTGCTTCAAACCTCTCCGTCTGTCCTCACACTGGATGACGGACGGGTGGCGTCTGAGTCACATTTTAGAAGAATATGTACCATCCAGACTTTGTCTGCAGTGCTGCAATCCAGAGAACTTCCTGTCAGACTCGGTGACCTACTTATCTCGACGTGTGTGGCAATAAAACAGGTCACTAGGACCGAATCCAGCAGGAAGCAGCTGGCGGAGAGAAAGCTTTTGCAGCGCTTTTTTTTTTTTTTTTTTTTTTTTTTGTGGGTTTTTTTTTTCTGGGGGGAGGGGAGGAGGGTCAGGCGTTAGAGGAGGAGAGGGCCAGAGGATGCTATCGCTCCCATTCAAACACACAAGGACATGCTGCACATTCTCAGGGTGTCGAACACTGAGGCAGCGGCTGAGGGGTCGGTGAACTTGTGTAGAAGCAGGAAGTCTTCTTTTTATCGCTTCACACACACAACACAAGTGTCTAAATGTGTAATTCTATGTACGGCACCATTTAACACTGAGAGTTATTTTTGTTAAACGTATGCACATGCAGTATATTAGGACGGTGTGTTAGAGAGAAAAAATACTTTTTTACATTACGTATTTTCTGAGTTCAAAGATCTACAAGAAAAAACAATCAAACTTAGCAGGAAAAAACATATGAGGAAAAGATTAAAAAGTCACATGTTTTTATTTCTGCCAAAGAGTGACTTTCTAATCTCAGAGAATATTCAAGTTTTCTGCTTGTAAATTTATGAGGTTTTTCTCAAAAATGTACCACTTTGATCTCAGAACCTTTGACTATCAGCACCCTCCCCCCGGCTCTGTAATATTTATTTTTATTTACCTACAATGCCCCCAATACGCCGTCATAGTACACAGTAAGACAACATAAATGTGTGATAATTGTGTCGATATATTCAGAGTTACATCCTCCGACCTACATCGGTTCGGTGTGAATGCGTTTAACCGAGGTGTGGTTAGGCTGCGAATACGTTCATGGTTGTGCGTGCCAACAAATTAAGAGTTTTATCCGTTGACATACTGAGGGGGTCTGGTGAGTAATATGCTGTTTTTTTTAGACATGCACAGTTCCTGCAAGTTGGCGCACTCGCTTCCTTTGTGACTCAGCTGGTCTATGTGTCAGACGTGACATTTTAATAGCGGTTATAAGAATGCACAATTAGAGGCACGCGCTGAGTCGGCATCAGCACAAAAAGGCCCAGAGGCTTTATTTGTATGTGTGTGCGTGTGTGTGTGTGTTCCTGTATACCATGCATAGGAAGTGGTGCGGCCGCGATAAGCCTTCCACCACGGCGGGTTCAGGGGCGATAGGTTGGAGGTCGGTCTGCGCGGCGAAGAGGCCCGCTGCAATTGGTCCGCTGAGCATCCTGATGGGAAAAAAGTTTCCCATGACGGCTCAGGGCTTGTTCTCAGAGACATGACTCGTCACATCACATCCCTCTGCGCTCCCCTAACTATATCATATGTAATGTACCGTATAGTGATAACGGCTGTGCAAACAAAGAGCCCTTTTTAAAGCTCTGAAAAGCAGCTGTGTGTCATGAGAGGTATCTATATACGTGTGATGTCATCCGTCAGTCAAAGGTCAGCAGTGAAGGTCAGGTTTATGGTCAGTAAATGTCGAGCTGTAATAGAAGAGAACGTCTTTGTGTTGAGCCCCACACTCAGAATGAGACCGTCTTTGTTATTTAGACCGACTGTAAGTCGACCATCTCCGCTAGAATATGTGCGTTTCTCCCGTGATAGTTTTCCCAGAGGAGCTGGTGCACCGTAGATGCATAGAATTTCTGATTATTTTCCTTGCAAATTTCTGACTTTATAATGTCAGGGGCTTTTTCTAAATTTGCATTTGTAAATTCGTGAGGATTTCTCATAAATGTGCAGAACATATCAGAGATCTCTTTCTCCAGGTTTAGTGTTGAATGGCAGCCTCCTCCTCCCTCCCCCCTCCTTCCTCCCCCCTCCTCCCTCCCTGGCATCGTCCCTCTGCTCGCCGTCCACTGGCAGCGCGGAAGGAAAAGCTGCTTCGCCTGCCAGTTGTGTTGTATTTGTTGCTCATGACCGACCCTTGAAAGTGGAAACGGTAATCCACTCTCACAGTAGACAGTTTCCATGGTCGCACTTCCTGTCCACCCCTTGCCCGTTTTCCTGTTTGACATATGATGTCATCGAGATCTCAGGCAGAGATTTCTTTCAGTCAGACTGACCTCAGAGTCGATGTAAAAAAAAAAAGGAAAAAAGGGTGAATTCCCCCCATGGCATCATTTAATAGTGGATTAGCAAAGGTTCACTAAATGCAGTCTGTTTACGGTGAGCTACAGTAAGATCACTTCCTTCAGCCAGATTACTCAGAGTTACTAGTTTGTAGTTGCACAGTGTGGCGGCGTGTGGGTGATGAGGGAGTTTCTCGTCACGGCATCATGAAGTAAGCTCACAGCTTACCTGCAGATGCCTGGCTGCACCGTCACATCATCCCTGTTCAGACCTGATCCAGGATCAGAAGAAGGTGCAGCTCTGAAATTCAAAAAGTTGGAGTCCAGCTAAAGAGACTTATTGTATTTATTTAATTTGCCTTGGGAGTTGTCTGGCAAACGCAAATCAACTACAGATAAGGTTTAACATGCTGTATGCAAATTACAACGATAACCCCGAGGTCATTTGCATTAAAACTGAACCACAAAACCTGACACACACGCACACACACATCTCCACATAACCACCTCCATATTTGGTTTACATCATCATATTTTAATTTAGTCAGGAAACACTTAATTTCTTTCCGCTGATTCTTCATTCGGGACGGGTATCGTTAGGATTCTATCGATACTAGTACTCTAATCGATACTCTTTCTAAATATACTGTGAGAAAAAAAGACGATTAATTAAGAAAAGAATCAGCATTGCTTTATTATTCTTATATAAACAAAAGAAGTTCCAAAATCTTTAAAATACATTCTCAGCGAAACAATTAGCTTAGCGATTAGCTTTCATTGATTAGCCTGTTCACAGAGAGACAGAGAGAAGAGGTTTGAGACGAGGACATCTCACTCTGTATCTTTTAAAGTACCGATAGCAGAACTGTTAACTCCGGACCGCATCAATGCTCCGGGTTTTTACTGATTTAGAACTGGGTTTCGGGGGGGGGGTGCATCCCTATTCTCCGTGTCTGTTTCCTCACCTCACTCTCCCTCTCTTCCCCCAGGTGTACTACGTGTCGGACCTGTTCAAGCCCAGGGTGAAGCCGGCCACGCCCCCGCCCTCCCCCATCAAGAAGGAGCTGCTGCCTTCGTCCGACATCATCGAGAGGAACAACCACCACAACATGGTGTGAGAGAGAGAGAGGGGGGGGGAGAGAGAGAGAGAGAGAGAGAGAGAGAGAGGGAGAGAGAGAGAGAGAGAGAGGCCCGCCACTTCTTCCTGTGACTCGAGGAGCCAATCGCAGCGCTGCTCGCCTCCCATCGGACAGTAGAATGTAGCGACGAGAGACTGTAGCTGCTCCTCAAATGGCACCCTCCTCCCTTGTTTCTTTGTTTGTTTTTGCAGCGCCCAGCGAGGCGCTTCCTTTCGGACTGTAGGGTGTCCGATTTGAGACTTGCACAGCAGAGTCCACTCTCACTATCCAGACTTGTTATTTACTATAATTATGTTAACTACTAATCAACATTTGAGCCTGTCGTTTTTTGAGCACAAACAGAAAAGAAATTGGAAAAAAATGTTTTTTTTTAAGAAATTGGGACGACTTGACAGGCAGAGCTGAGGGTGTGGAGGTTTGATGGAGGTGTAACCACATGAAGGGTTAAACACTTGTGAAGAAAAACAAATGAAGAAGAAAGAAGAAGACAAACCCCCTGCCTAGGGAGAGAGGGACGCTTCCTCTCTGAACTCTCGGTGGCCTTGGAACGCTGTAGGACAACTACTTCCTTAGCTATGGGAAGGATATTACTGCAATAACTAGCATAGAAATATTAACAGTATAGAAAAGATATAACTTATAGCACTGTTTTTTTTAAGCTCATTGTCCATTATCACCACTTGCTGCCTGAGACGTCGAACTGAAAGAACTTGACGGCGCCGACGCCCACGAGACAGACTCCAAAAAACAAAAGTCGACCCGAGCCGGGCGTGGTGGCTTTCACGAGACTCCACGTTCACGCAGGATCGAGTTAGCATAGCATTGGCTTCAGTAACAATAGCAACAAGCTACTTTAAGGGTTACATTCTGATTGTTATAGGTCTTTTATGTCAGAGCAACTTTCTTCCTCACTATCCTGGTAAGGGCCGATCACACCGAGACGCGTCGCTAGAAACTAGAAAGTGTCGCTAAAAACGTGTTGCTAGAAACGCGGCGCATTTTTTAAGGTGTTTTTTAGACGCTGCATAAAAAGTTTAAGTATTCTCAACTTTTCACGTTGTCAGTGTCACACTTGGCAATCAAATCAAGCAAGAGGCGGGCTTTACTGCTTCACCACTGACTTCCTGTTTTGATGCCACTCGATGTGGCAGGAACAGATGTTGATATTAGTGTTTTGTAATTATGATGAAAGATGCATCTCGGTGTGATCGGGGCCTTAAAACTGTAACAGCAGGAAGCGAAGCCCTTCCAACCTCATGTACTTTCTGCCTCCGCATCAGCACGTCAAGTTTTTTTTTTCTGTAGTTGACTCTCAGAGCGGCCCAAACCCGGGATGTTGCATTTCTTGAGGGTTAGATGTACTAACGGGTGGGGAAGGGGGGGGGGGGGGGGGGGGGGGGGGGGGGGGGGGGG